AGCGGGGGGAAGGGGGCCAGAGGGCTGCCTCCATGTGATCGACAGTTGGGGAGGGTGGAGGTCCTGTGAGGGTAAAGTGTGTGTGTGTGTGTGTGTGTCTGTCTGTCTGTCTGTCTGTCTGTCTGTCTGTGTGTGATCCTGGATTGCCCTTTCCTTCCAAAAGTGATTTTCACCTTAAAAAGATTGGAGCCCACTCTAATAGAGGGTCTTCACTTCAAAAAAATAAAAGAGCAATTCCTTTTTTGCAAAGAACCCAGAAAGACCACAGCAGGTCAGAACTATGGATTCCTATGGGTTGACACTATGGATTCCTATTTGAAATCTCTGGGTTTCTCTTGTGAATCATATGTAGGGGTTTTTACACCTAAGAGTGTTAATATTGTGAAGCATGCCACAACACCCTTAATAGGATGACACAGCACCTCAGCTGCCCTGTTCTGCTCTCCCCAGCTGCACCTCCCTGGCTCCCTTCCTACCACGCTGCCCTGCCTCCAGGAGCGGGGCAGGAAACAGAAGCTGGAAGACAGATGGGGAGGCCAGAGCCCCTGGCTGCCATAGCAGCTGGAGCAACGGGAGGAGTGGTGGCCATGTGGGAGCCCATGCAGCCTGTGGTTGCCAGTTGAACACCCCTGTCCTAGACCACAAAAAACCAGTTCTGTTTTACATTATGTGAAATATACTTAGAAATGATTCTTGGCTGTAGACAAAACACACTGAGCGCAAGTGGGCCCTCTGCATTTTCTTTATCTTGGTTCTGCTGTGTGCATGGCACTTCTGGGCTTATTAGAATAGCTAAAGAGTTGCTTCCACTTACCTGGGGCTGCAATGACTGCAAATATTTTTGGAGAAAGATTACTGCAGCACTGCAGAACAAAGACTGCAATGTATCAAAGGATGTAGCTCATTCCTCTCTGGACAGTGAGAGACTTACTCTGTTAAGACAAGAGGTAGAAACACTATGTGACATCTCCAAGTTGCGTAAATATGATATAAAAATATAATAAAATACGCAAGATGTCATTGTTGAAATTAAGTCAAGTTATGTCCCACTACAAAGCAAACAGGAAAAGGACTCATGAGATCAGGATGTAAAGACAGTCTCAGAAGCCAAACCCTCAACTGATGGTTTCAGTGATAAAAAGATATACCATAAACTGTTGTTAGGCCTCTGCCTTTTAGATCTCTTTTATAATGACTTTATCATCAACAAACAATTTCAGTTCTTCAGTAGGTACTAGTGAAACAAGTATGAAAAAGGCTTCTTACAGGGCAGTAACTTCTTGTAGTAAACAGCAATTACCACTTGCTATTACCTTAAGCTGAAATCAGATCTAAACATGCCTACTAGGTGCTGGAAGTCTAATTTTATTTTTTAAAGATTTACAAATATTTATATATATATTTTAATTGTTCCTTAGTCATGCTATTTTGTGGGCTGTCTAATATGAAATTCATCTAAGACAGGGCTGTCCAACTGGTGACCTACAACAACGGCGGTCTCTAATCTCCCCCTCCCTTCCTCAGGTTTCATTTCCTGCTCCCACCCTGTGGAAACCCACAACAGGGTACAGTGGTGGCGGGGTACCACCCACCCAGGCAGTGCAGTGGCCACTTGCATATGTGATGCAGCAGTGGGCGGACAGGGAGCTACATGTGCAATGCAGGTAGGAAGGTACAGTTCACGGCCCATGGCTTGCCTTTGTGCAGTCCCTGAAGTACATGCCCCAAATGGTTCAGCCCCCAGCCACTTAGAAGATGGACATCCCTGATTTAAGGAAATGATACAAGATGCAGTATCCAAACAGCTTCAGTTAAATACAAAAAGGCCATAACCTACTATTTTTTGAAGGCACACATATGATCCTTGAAACTTTTCTAATGTGAAAAATTCTTATGTATGAAAATAAACTTCTGTAAGAAATACTGAGGTGAGTAAACATTTGAAGGATCTGGTCTTCAGAAAAAAATTTTTTAAAAAGTCAATTGTGTTATGATTGCCTGTGTTACCACTGATGTCACAATTCCACCACTCAACCATGAGCTGGAGCAGTCTTGAAATCAAGATGTGGTAAAATCTTAACTTAGAAGTTCCTCTTGTACCAGATTTCTAACAAACAGTAGCTTTCAAGATTGCATTGGACGATAGGTGCCTTATCCTTAATATGCTCAAAATGCTGTTACATGTTAACCATTGTATAAAGCCCAAACACAGTGGGGCTGGATCTGATGATCTCGAGAGGTCCCTTCCAGCTCCTAACATCTATGAATAGTGCTGAAGCTTTAGGAAGAACTGCGAGGGAACTTTGGGCTAAACCTAGGGTTACCATACACTGGAGTTTTCCCGGACATGTCCTTTTTTTGGATCCTACAATCTCCATCACGGCGGTTTTTTGAAATCTGAACCAATGTCTGGGATTTTGCTCTGCTCCGTGGTGGGCGCATGAGGAGGAATATGGAGGCAGGGGGCATCATGTGCTCTGCATGCGTACGTGCATGTGGCTGGCATGCAGCCAGACAGGGTCATAGGAGCAGCCCTGGCAGTTGGATGCATGCAGTAAGTCTATTGCAGGGCCCAGGCTTGGGGACTGTCCGGGGTGCTGCAGGGGTGTGTGTGGCAGGGTGGGGTGGAGCATGGAGGGGATGTGTGTGAGAGAGGGGGTGGTGCCTGCTGGCACTGGAGGAAGGTGTCCTGGTGCGGGGGCTGCAGCAGGGCGGGGGAAAGGAGGTGGGAGGGTCCTTTGAAAGAAGCGGGAAGCTCCATGGCTAAGCCAGCAGCCCTGTAGCCAGTGTCTTTGCTCATAATGCCAGGCCAACTGGGAGACACTGCCTGGGGGGGCGTGGCCAGGCTGCCTGGCACAGTACTGGAACCGAACCCAGTGCAAGGGGTGCCACAGGCCTCCCCTCTTCCCTCCTGCCCATGTCGGGGCCAGACTCACTCCACCACTGCCCACACGAATCAAAGTCATTGCGCTCTGGCCCAGTCAGGATGGAGGCAGTTGGGGGCCCCCTCCAGCAAGGCTATGAGGAGTACAGGGCTATGGGTCAGGAGTGCAGGGCACCAGCAGGGCCAGGGGTCAGCAGGTCATGAGTGAGGGTCAGCAGTAGGGATTGGGAGGCTGCAGGTTGGGACTCAGGGGCACCAACATAGCTGGGGGGTAACGGGCACCAGCAGGGCCAGGGGGCTGTGGGTTGGGAATGAGGTGTCCCCCCCAATAGGTGTCCTCTTTTTTGGAACCGGAAATATGGTAACCCTAGCTAAACCATAGATTCGTAACACAGTACCAGATTCTCCCCAGCCCTTTTAAAAGATGTGCTGTGGGAGGATGACCACAAAGACTCCCATTCTGCATGCTATATAAAGCCAAGAGGAACTGCAGGCCACTGACAGCAGTAACTTGTTCCCTCCCTGCTCCTATTGGGCTCCTGCCTGAACAGGATAAAAAAGAGGGTGTGGGGAGAATAAAGATGTGCCCTGCTTCCTAATAGGAAAACATCCCCCCTTAGAACATTCGTTATAAACCTGTGACCCACCCCTCACCCCCATTTTCTCTTTAGCTGCACCAGTAATCAGTCGCTGCGCCTCTAGTGGCCTCCCTGATCAAGGGAGGCTTATGCCCTTGGTGAGCCTAGACCCGTGTTTCCCTTGGCAAAACATGTAGGCCTGAAAGAAAAAAATGATTTAAAGTCTATTTGGGCTGCCGTAGGGATTTCTTTTCATTCTTACCCTAGGGAACTGCTTGTTGATCCCAACTAATGGCTCAAAACCTTATTCTCTACAGAAGATAGTAGCACTCAGTCTCTACATGCCCTGCCTCCAAGAAACCTCAGAAATGAGTCATAGTTAGCAGTCAGAAGCTAAGGAGAAGGCAGGGTACATTTGCACCTTGTAGACTACCCGAAGCAGACAGCTATATTGAGCCTGTCCTTTCACAGCATCTGATGGCCTGTGCTATGCTGGTTAGCCCATAAGGTGCAAATGTACCCGGCCCTCTTCTCACCTCAGAGATGCTGGCACACTTGAGCTTCTTCCGACCAGGTTCATTCCGGCTAGTGGAAATTCGCAGCCTGTGTCATGCTCTCAAAATCAACGCGGCTGGGATTCCCACGCAGAGGCTGCAGATGTTGGCTGACCTTACAGAGTGGGGGAGCTCAGCCTAGGCAGCTCCTGCAGGAAACCCGTCAGGCTTCGCAACTCAGAGCCAAGCCTCAGCAGCTGAGGATGCAGGGTCCTCTTCACTGTCACCGGTGTGCAAATGCTGGAGCTTGGGTGGGGGGGACTCTCTTCTCCCGTTTTAACAAAGAACAGAACTGAAAGATGCCAGAACTGATCGCTCGCCCTGCCACGCTGCAGCCCTCGCAGGGGCGACAAACTTGTGTGGTGCTGAGGGCCACAAGTGGTGTGGGATCAGTCTCGGGGGCCCGATAAACGGTGTGGAGCCAGCTCAAGAGCCAGACGAGTGTGGGACCACTCCGTGTCCTGATGAATGGTGTGGGGCCAAGTCTGGGGGCCAGATGAGCCGTGCAGGGCCAGCTCCGGGGCCAGATGAGCAGGGTGGGACTACTCAGGGGGCCTGATGAACGAAGTGGGGCCAGCTCCAAGGGCCACATGAGCAGCGTGGGGCTGGTCCAGGACAGATAAGTGGCGTGGGGCCACCCCTACAGGGCACATCCTTGCCCTCGGTCCCTGCACTCCCCCCATGCCGGATGCTAGCCAGGGCCAGGAGGGAGCAGGAGGGCGCTGGGTGCTGGGCTGCCCCGTGGAGCGGTTACCCCCTCAAGGCTGCGGACTGTCCCCTGTGGGGGCAGTGGGGAAGGGGCAAGGCAAGCAGGTGGCACAGGGAAGCCCCAGCCCAGCCTGACGTAGGCGGGGGGGCGGGGTTCCCCATAGCCCCGCCCCCTCCCCCCACCTCAACGGCCTGGCACGTGCCGGCTGTGCCTGGGGGGGGAAGCGGATACGACCTCTTTGGAAAGGGGGGGCAGGGCGGCGGCACCCCGATCACCGCCCCCGCCCCGCCAGCGCCGCGACTCGCCAGGAGCAGGATGCGGCGGCGCGGGGGTGAGGCAGCTGGGGCCGGCGGGGCGAAGGGGGGCAGCGCCGGGGGGCGAATGGGCGTGTGGCTCCGGCCATAGCTGCGCGCGGGGTTCTAGCAGGCGCCGCTTCCAAGCCGGGGGGCCGCACGGACCCATTGTGCAGGGACGGGGGTGGTGGGAGGCCCGTGCGACCTGCCTTCGAGGCCCCCCCAGGGGTCCTCACCTCCTGCCTCCTCCCAGCATAAGCCCCTGGGTCCGTCCTGCCCCGTCTCCTGCACCCCAGGGCAGAGAGAGCGGCCTGGGTCTCAGCAGGGCTTTCTCCCAGTGGCCGTGCCCCTGACTCCAGCACCCACTTCCCCCAGGGACGGGCCCCTGCCCTTTTATGGAGTCTGGCTTCACTGTCGGCTGCTGCAGCGCCTGCCCCGGACGTGGGGCATGAGAAAGAGCTTCCTTCAGTTAGTTTTCGGGGTGGCTCCAGCACTCCTGCCTCCTGAGGCACCTCAAGAGCCCCCGGCGGGGGTGGGGGGGGGCTTGCCAACGTTGCACCCATGAGCGTCGGGCGGTGTTTCTGCCAGGAACCCCAGTGACACCGGGGAAGCTCAGGGTGTCGAGCTGTAGGCACGAGTCAGCAAGGAAGTACTGGGACGAGGAGATGGAAGGGGTGCGGGTTCTGGTAGGAAAAGGCCGTGGGATGATTGCTGTTGCCATTGGTGTCACTGTATAAATACCAGTAATAATGCTTATATCAGTATTGTTGTTTGTATTACTATTGCCATTGTTATCATGGCCATCGATACCCACATATTTACAAAATTAAAAAGCAATAACAATGATGACGGCGATCATTTGAACATTTGCCAGCCAGAGTGGAAAGTCCAGGCTTGGGTGCCTCAGTTGGAAGGAGGAAAGGCACTTCATTGGGAGCTCCTCTGTATGTGAGAATAGAAATTGCCCCAGTTCTGACAAGTTTAAATTAAAGAAGGCGTTCTTGACGTATGCAACATGAGGCTTGGTTGTTTGTTAAAGCATTGGGGTGTAAGTGTGCTTTTCCTGCATTCGGTCTGCATTTTGTCTGTCAGAATTCTTATAGAACTGAAGATATCTATGTCTACATCTAGGTGTTGTGCTCAAAGATGTTGATGCATGTTCAAATACTTGCAGGATCAAGGCCTTATCCTGTGTTGTAGCTTATAATGTGCCTACTCCCAAACTGCATGCAGTCCATCTTGCAATTGGATCTGTTACCATGGACTTCTTTGTCTGTAGAGCCTCTTTAAAGCCACAGAAATTTGCATTACTGACTTTGATCATAGGAACATAGCCCCAAACCCTGTAGATTTGATTTGTCTCCCTTTTTACTATTTTTTGTTTTGGAGGAGGTGAGGGGAAATGGGAACTTCTACATAACTTGAAATCAAATAAAATAAAACCCCACACAGAGGAAAGTTTGTTTTTATTAGGATCAAAAGCTGGAAATCGGGACCTTGCACTACTGAGGGTGATGGGGGAATGTAGAGAGAACCTGTGATGGACAGACTGAAACAAAGGAGGTCACGAGGACAGACTGCATGGTTCTCAACGCTTGGCTTGGTTTAAGGCTGCTTACCAATTTGTTGACACAGTGGGATGGTTGTATAGAATAGTAAATATTTGTTAACTTACCAGCAAGAGAAGACACTTTAAAAGTTGTTAGTTTGAAACTGACCCTCCCATAAGTGCTATGCTTTGTCTCTGTATTATGCTATTGCAGATTTTAACTATTACCTGAAGACACCCCTATAATAATTAATAAGTGCTCTTCTAAACTACCAAGAAATTAGGTAGTCTGCTCTGCTTGAAGAAACCTGGGAGAAATCAAAGTGGAGACTTGCTATCTTATATTGTCTCTTCTTTTTCTTTTAATGTATTTAGGAGAAACTGCACAAATGAATACGATCCCCTTTCTTCCTGGACACTGAGCTGAGGAATTTCATCATGGGTCAGCACTTTTCAAATCAGACACAAACTGTTATTAACAAGATACCAGAAAAGGTAGCAAAACATGCAGCTCTGGTTCGCGAAAGTGGTTTCCTGACATATGAAGAGTTTCTGGGAAGAGTAGCTGAAATTAATGATGTGTAAGACTTTGTCTCCTGTCCTTTTAAAAATTGTACAAACACTATAATGTCTTGGGCTGGCCAATCTATACCATTTGGCTTTCAGATGTGTTCTTCTATTTTTCAAGCCTGTGTAGTGCAGTGATTCTCAACCTTCTTATGCTTAAGGCTCTCCTCAGAAAATTCTAGCTCTTAGTTTTCACTTGTTTTTTGATTACAGAAAAATACTAGAGCAATTCTGTTGCAAAGAACTCGGACCACAGCAGGTCAGAATGTTTTTAACACTGTAGTTTCCCTATGTGAAATCCTTGGGTTGATTTTTGTGAATAATGATAGCACACCTGTCACAGCTCCTTGGAGTATTCTTCCATTTAACCTTGCCTGCCATACTACTACTAATACTTTGGGCCACTGTCCCAGAGTCCCAAGGTGAGCCTCAGACCCTCTCATGTGGTCTTCAACCTCCCTATAGCCATGCCTTGCAGGTGGTATTTGATCATTTTGGAGGGGCCCATAGCCCTGCCACAACACTTGGCCCCCTCAGGTCTCAAACCTTTGTTGGGGCTTCATCCCCTTATCTCTGCCTGTGCCCCCTCAGCCTAGGTCCGTTTCCATGAACCTTGGTTTCTGGGCCCCGGGACCTGGTTTCGACCTTTTCTGGCTCTTCAGCCCCCTGGGGGGACTTGTATATCACTCAGCCTCCTGCGTCCCTGCAGGGCTGTATGCGGGGTGTCTCTCTGGTGTCCCTGTGGCCTCCATACTGTAACCACAACCTTGTCCTCCAGTATCTAATTTAACTGCAACATAAACATAAGCACCTGCTTCCAAACTAAAAGTCGCCCTCACTCAGGGTCATTGTCATCCTACAAGCCGTGCTTCCCTTCAAGCTCTCACCTCTTAGCTTTCCTGAGTGACTTTGGTGCCCACCAAGGCTATCTCCTGCAACCCTTCTCTTCCAAGAGATCCACCACTCCTTTCAGGTGCTGGGCTCAATGCCCTGGAGCACTGCCCCTTCTGGCCAGAGATGACTCCCTAACCAAGCACAGGGGTTTCCCCTTGTGCCTAATGGGCAGCCTGACCCAGCTGCTTGCTGCCTTTACTCTCAGGCTGCCTAGAAATCTCCCCTACACAGTAAGCTTGTTACAGCTGACTTTTGTTCAGCTGCCTGCATATAAAGTAGAGCAGCCTGTTGCACTTTCTCAAAGTAACAGGAGCCACTGGAAGTAAAAATCCCTATCTTTTTGCAAGTATAGTTTAGCAATAGAATGCCTTCCAATTTTATTTTGTGTTTATTTATGCAAAATATTGTCCTGATTATAAGTCTACCTTTTTTCCTTCCAAAACAGCCATAAATATCATACTTGCCTTATATACTGGCATGACCTATGGGCAGTCCTCCAACAGTCACAACTTTAGTACTTGAAGTATTTTTGTCTTCAGTACTTGAAGTATTATTGTTTTGTAATAAAAATACAGTCACAACTTTTTTGGTATAGTATTTGTTTTTCTTTACATTAATGTCATAAGTTACCCTCAAAAACAGAAATGAGACATCAGGTACCTTACCCTGCACTGCTCAGTTTTTTATTTTAAGTACCTTTCATGTATTTAAATCTGTGGGCCCTTTCCTTGGTTATTTAATTCTCCAGTAAGATTGTTTTGTTTTGTTTTGTTTTGTTTTGTTTTGTTTTGTTTTGTTTTGTTTTGTAAGTGCAATAACAATTCAAGGTCTTTTTCTGTAGTTATCAAGGTGTCTTCAGGGGGAAAAAAACTTTAAATTGAACCTAAAAATGTTGTGTTGATTGATATGGGAGATCAACTTATAATCAAAATTGTATCATAAAAGTTTGTATATAATACGTAGAAGTTACATATTCCAGAACTGGGACCACAGTGAACTAATAGAAAACATGTTGGACCCTTAAATAAGCCTACCGATTTTATATGAAGCTGCTCACATGCATAATTTTTTGCTGAATTGGGATTAATGGAGTTTCTCTTGCAAGATGTTCATTCAGCAGAACACCTTAACTTAATTTGAAACACATTAATAGTACTTTTTGAGACCTTGGTTCCTGCAGGGTTAGAACTTCGGGGTTCAAAGGTACTGGATCTCACTTGGTTACCTAGACCAGCTAAATAAAAGACAAAATGTAGAACTCCAGACTTACATAAATTACGTACGTGTCTTTTTGGAGGGATTTTCTGTGAGCTATCTTTTATTAAGAAACTTCAAATTAAAAGAAGCAAACAAAGGGTGGCCATGCCTATTCTATTTAAGTTTCTTTTAATCTATTGAAGGTAGAGTGGAAAAATTCCTTTAAGAATTGCACAGCTTCTAAAGGGACAGTCCAATTTGTGGATCTATACTACTACTATTTCCTTTTTTATAGAAATAATTTTATAGTCTAATTTGTGTGTATTTGTCCTGTGTAGTGGTATGTTTTTATAGGTGACTGCTACACGTGGACTTAGGATACTGATAACTGCTGCTTTTAAGATATACATTGAATTTCAGACTTCCCTTCCATTTTACTTTAGACCTCAAACATACTTTCAGTTATTTGGCATTGGAACGTGGCTGAAGTTCAAGCTTTTAACTGTAGAAGAAACTCAAGAAAAGTAGTTGGCTGATCTGGTTTTAAAAGGTAGTGGAGGAATTGACTGTTTATACAACAGAGACAAGATTCAAACAATCTTTTCCTTTGACTCTGCGTACTGTTGCAACATTAACACAGTTACATTTTAAAAATCTCACCCAGTAATATCTTGATCCTTTCAAGCTGTTTCATAAATGGTGAGGAAATAATTTATTGGGCAGAACTAAAACATTTAGCCCTGTAATAAACAATGGAATATATTCAAAAATAAAGTACTAACTTTCCTAAATATTTGTACTGGGGTTGATCAAGGGGCAGAGAGTAGGTGTGATTACGAAGGACTTGCATGCGATTCCTGCAAAATGAACGAATGACTGGAATAGAAATTACCTGTATATTTAAGCTGAAGACATGTAAAGCCACTAATCTAAAACTCATTTAATCTTTCCATTAAGGTGAAACTGTCCTTCGTGAAAATGGTTAAAATTAAATGGGTAAATGAAAAATTAAATAGGTAAATGAATTGCAATGGGAAAAGTGACTCTGCTGCAGTGTATATCTATTGTATAAAGTCAGATCAATGCTCCTCTGTTTCAGAACGGCAAAGTTGGCTTCTGGACAAGACAAACATCTATTATTTGAGGTGCAGCCAGGTTCTGATTCCTCTGCTTTGTGGAAGGTGGCAGTTCGGATAGTCTGTACTAAAGTAAGATTATCAACCCTTTTAGCTTAGCGTTTAACACGAAGCTAACTGAACTAAGAATGTTTTTGGTCAGTCACCATTCAGTTTTCATTTTAATATAAAGGGTTTAAAGTATATTGTTAAATTGGGCCTAAATTTTGGTCTTTTCTAAAAACTGAGGCATCAACAGAAATATTTTAATGGCCAGCCCTAAAGGAATAATGCCTTCCCTTGCAGTGTTCACTAGCCAGTTCTTGGCAGTCTTGAGACCAAGTAAGAACCCAAATTTGAAACTGACTAGCTCGACAGAGGTGGCAGTCCAATAAAGGGTCTGGTCAGGGATTTGATTTGACATTCAGTATCTAAGTGATAAGATAATTTATCCGTATTTAATACAAAACTAAAAGAAGCCTCACTTTAAAGTTGTGGCCTTTTAGCATTGCTAATTTAGTAAGCTGTAAGCTGAAGAACCATACAGGAAAATTACTCTTAATGGTTCTCCAAGTGGTTACATCAGTTCACCCATTTAGATCAGCCTCAATAATGGGGGCCTTACTGTGAAGCTTCAGCTAAATTATGAGGGCACAATAAATATTTGGTTGGCATTGTTCGGGGGTACAATTGATACATGAACTAACAAATGTGTAGGACGTTAGCTTAATATACTTATTATAGGACCACTTTATCCTGTAACTTATAATGAACATGCTTGTTTAAATAATGGTTCTTCCCAGAAAAGCACATAGAGTGTAACTTCAGCGTGTTGGTTTGTGTTACAATAGCAGTCAGCTGACAAAACCAGAATGTGACAGTGAACAACTGAAAATAAAGCACAGCATATAAAATCAGTGTAGCAGATCAAATAGGTTAACTGTTCTCACTGTTAATGAGGAACCATCCCTGAATGGGGATGGTTCTAGTGAGTTCCTGCAGAGATCTGTTCTTGGCCCCAATATCAACAATAAGAGAAAAATAACTGCTCTTAAAGCTACATGATGATGGCAGAGTTGGTAAAGTGACTGATAGTGGTAATAGTGACTGATCAGTTACGCAGAGCAATCTTGATCACTTGGTAAGATGTGCACAAGCAAATGTACTTTTTATGTGGTAAAATGCAAGGTTTTAGGTCTAGGAGCAAAGAATGAAAATTAAACTTCAAGATGGAGGGAATGGGGAGAGAGTAGTTATTCAAACATGTTTGAAGGTCACAGTAGATAATCAGCTGAACTTGAACTTCAAATGTGGTGGAGTTGAGAGCACTAAGGTGATCCAGAAGTACAAACATGGGAAAATCAAATAGTACATGGGAAATAGCTTTGTTTCTCTATGTAGCATTAATGAGACTTTTCTGCAGTACTATCCAATTTCTGTGACAATTTCAAAAGGAGTTTTTGGGGAGTGGAGGGGAGGATTCAAAGAGAACAGGATTTAGAAAAGAGGTAGAATAATGATGTAGGTCTCTCTGTAAATTTTTTTTCTATAATGTAAAGATCCATCTATTTAGTTTATGAAAGAAAATTTGATATTTGATCACAGTTTTCCCATGAGACTCCTGACATCAGAGGGCTCTTTAATCTGGCAAACAAATTACTAGCTGCTGAAGCTAGACAAATTCAAACAGGAAATACCCATACAGAAAAAATCCCTCGGATCAGAACAAGTGCTATAGTTCATCCAGAAGCTATTGTTAGGGACCTACTTAAATCGCAACAGAAGTCTGGTGCAGTGGCACCTTTAACCTCACTCTTTTTGCTGCATCTCCTCCCCCTTTTGAGAGGTAAGAAGCCATTAATGCCGCAGTTTTTACCTCTCTGCCACTCGGCAGAAGGGGGGTGGGGGGAGAGGAGAGCGCATGGCAAAAAGAGTGAGATTAAAAGTGCCACTGCATCGTGAACTTCTGTCATGATTTAAGTCTGTAGCTACTGTGCACAATCTCAGTATTACTGGTTAAAGTTGTATGGTTTATGATCAGGAACTTGCTACATGTATAATTATTAAACACATGGTTCTATTCCTTTCTTAACTTGTCCATGCCCATCAGCCAGAATTTTTCTAAAGCTCTTAAATATTTTAGAGTTCAAACCAAGCGTAGGTCACTAACCTATTATACTTGGAGCCAATGATTCTTAATATAGCTATTTTTTCTTACTCTTACTTTATTGATAATGTAATATTTCTACTTCAAAGAAAATCTATGACTTTCATGAAGGCAGCCATCATTGCAGTCTAATTTATGCTCTTAAAATGGTGAAGCTTGGAACCTGGAACAGCATAATCAAGTTTCTATATATACATCCTACTTATTCATAGTTTAATGGTGTCATTTACCATGATTATGGTCTTGTACGTCTTATTACAGTTAAGCTTGTATTTTCCATTTTAAGTGATTATGATCTTTACCTGGAACTCTGTTTAGGGATATTACAACTTAACTATATATTGACTTAGTTCTCTAGCATTATCATGGGCACTAAAGAAAGTAGCAAACTTCCTCCCATAGAATAATGTTTAAAATGAAGAGTTGAGAATTCACAGTCGGTAACTGTTGTTTGAATTGTATAAACTTTTTCTGTAAATATTTTTGTATCTCAGATAAACAAAACAAGTGGCATCGTAGAAGCTTCAAGAATCATGAACCTGTATCAGTTCATTCAGCTTTATAAAGACATCACCAGTCAAGCAGCAGGAGTTCTTGCGCAGAGCAGTGCCTCTGGAGGAACTGCTGAGACTTTCACATCTGTGTCATCTTGTCAGGCCAGTTTATGGATGGGAAGGTATTGATATACTACCTAATTTTGGAGGATATATATATTTGTGTTTAAATCTTAACAGCTGACTTCCAATAAATATACTTAGAATGAACTTTCTGTCTTTGGCAGACAAACTTCAAGTGGAGTATAGAGCAGATGGTTTGTTAGTACTTGTAACCCTGCAGTCAACTTAGTTACGTTACTGTCGGTGTCATTGCACTAGCTTTGGAACAGTCTTGTTAGTGATCTCTTCTAATGTGCACCTTATTTGTTTATCTTCTGAATGAGGAAAATGGGAGGAAATGAAATCACTTGTAGTTACAACACTTGTTTCGGTAGTGTTTGTTTAAACAGATTTAATGTTATTTTTCCGCTTAAACTTTCTTTTCCTCTTCTCTTACACTTTGGCATGCGACAGTTCCAGCTGTTGTCACTAGAGAGCCACCAGCTGTAACCTTAATTTTACCCTGTAGGGGTGGGGGGGAAAATAGAAAATTGCTCATCCATGGTGAATCCTGTTTTTAATCATAGGAGAAGCAAAAAACTGTGGTCAAAACCCACAGAACCTGCTAGCTCAAGATGGATAAAATGGTAAATTTTAGTTGAATATAGTAGTATATGCAATGCCCACCCTAGAATCTGCACTACACAGAGTACCGGCTCCAGCTGGTCTGGGACCCACATTGCACTTGGCACTCACAGGTGCCACCTGCAGTGTGGTCCCAGACTGGCTGGAGCAGGCACTGCACACAGCACAGTCCTGGAGCTGCTGGGGTGGGTGCTGTGTTGCGGTGCAGTCCAGCCAAGGTGGCCATCATAAGTCAGAAAACCAGCTAAGTTGGCAAGCTGGCTCTGACAAAGATGTTTGTTCATATTATGGTATGGTGTCAATAAACTGCCTTACAAAGGGTGTTTTTGCAAATGTGACTCAGTTTAGAACTTGGAACTACAGTAAAAACTGTGTTATCTGGCACTTTATCATCCGGAATACTCCATTAACCGGCATGCCAATCGATGCAGCAAAAGTGAAACCAGAAATCCCACCATGGCACTTCCGGTTTTGCCAAGTCCCACTTCATTAACTTTTGCCCCGGGCCGTGGTCCAGGCAGCCCATGCAGGGGTCCCCTCCCTGTCCCCCGGCATACACCAGGGAGTGAAAGCCTTGGTGCACCGGGAGGGGTGGAGGCCCAAACAGGTAAAGATGCCTCTCAGATAACTGGCATATTTGATTAACTGGCCCTCCCCATTCCCCATGGATGCTGGATAACACAGCTTTTACTGTATATGTAAACTCTGCTCTGATTATTCCCAAAATCTCCAGTATTTTCAAGCTTCTGTTTAACAGTGAGATGAGATATTAAAGCTTTGTCTGCTTTGGGAATGTCTTACTGTACCTCTACACTGATAAAAACCTAACATGGATGGGAAGCAGTTCTGCTTGTACTAGTGAAGCTGAACCTTATTTCAGGAAAGACTGAGTTTCACCAGTACATAGTGTCTTTTTGCCTATTGATTCTGGGGTTTGCACCTATGTAGGCACACCAGGGACCTGGTTAACTCAGGTCTGTTGATGTATTAGTAGGATGATATTTTGGCTTTGTGTCTGTGTTTGAACCGTCAAAGTAATATGGCTCCCTTAGTGCAGTTTGCACACTTTACATTTGGAGGTACTTCTTCACATTCTGTGGGACTCTTGTTGTAACCTGATATCTTCTGCCCACTGATTCTTTCTGGCTACCAAATACAAAGCTTCTGGAATTATCTTGTTAGTCTAATGTTCTCTTTAGTCTCTTGGATAGTGTGTTTTGTGGGGGAGAGTCTCCAGTGGCTTCTAACATGGATATACAAAATATTAGTGGTGAAAATAATTATTCATTTATTTTGTAATGTAAAACCGTGCCTAGAAGGCTTCATTATATATGGCAGCATGTTTTAAAAGAGTAATGTTTAGCAACAGAAGATTGCAGATTGGCCCGTGCCACTTATGTCAGGAGTTGCATAGATGTAACTGCAGGTAATATTTGGCTGTATTTTAAAAAATGTGAAAAGAAATGTTTCTAATTCCAGCTCATTTACAATGGTTGTACTTAGCTTCTTCCATTTTGAGATTATTGACTATTTCAGAATCTTAAATAGAAGAAAAAGGCTCATATTGATGGAATATTTTTGAAACTGGTAATAGTAATTGTTGGATAGTATATATTTGTCCTACTGTCTTTTTATGAATTGGGGAGGGGGTGTAATTAAAGCATTTTGCATATAGTACATCATTTTCATAGATTTTATTGAGCATTTTTAATTGGACTCTTAGTATGCTGACAAATGAAGATGGTTAGCTGGATTTTTCAAGAGCCTGTCAAAAACAGGAGTTCCATGAAAAGTCTGTCCTTTCTCCCAAGTCACTTAAATACTTTTTAAATCCTGCTACTGAGGTTTTTATTGTGATATACTAGAGCAGAAAAAGAAGATTAAAATTTGAAAATGGAGGGATTAGAACTTGTGTGTGAGACCTTTTAAAACCCTTTTGCAAAGAAACTCTCCACAGCCCCTTTTTCACAAGGAAGGGCAAATTAAACTGGGCTGGATACAGTTTCCTTGCAAAGCATGCTGTGATTTTAATTTCATCTGTATCTTCTGTGGAAACCATCAGTCCTTAACTTCCGTCTGGAATGACTGACTGAAATGCTAATAACACTGTTCAAAAAAATATTAGGCATGTTTGAGAGAGGTGGCTTTTCCCTACTTTCTGTTCATACTTTTAAGGCAAAGAGACATGTAAATGCATTTATAGTATAAGATGCTTTTTGGAATGTTACTATACTGCTTAATTATTACACTAAGCAATTAAGGTATGGCATTTTATAATTTATCTTATCTTCCAATTTTAGCCTTGAGAGGATGGGAAAGGCCAACATCCCTTCTATTTAAGTGCCTTGCTTTATTTAATTCGGAGGTGTGCAATTCTGGGCTTCACGTTTTAGGACGTATGTGGAGATGTTGAACAGAATCCAGAGGCAAGCAACAAAAATAATAAAGAGGTTGAAAGGAAAGCCATGGGAGGAGAGCATGAGAGAGCTAGGTGAAAAGGAGATTCAAGTGGTGGTGGGGGGACATGAAAACAGTCTTCACAAACTACTTGAAATGCTGCCATAAATGAGGAGGAAAACAAGTGTTCTTTTGCAGGATGTGAAGCAGTGGCTTACAAATGCAGCAAAGCAGACTTTGCTTAGATCTCAGGAAACTTCCCTGCTGTTATAACAATAAAGTAATGGAATAGACTGCCCAGGGAAATTGTAGCTTCTCTTCCAACAGAGATTTTCAAGAGGAGGCTGGATAAGCCTTTGACAAGGATAGTTTAGAAATATCATTCCTGGATTCATATGGTGGGGTGGACCATATGACATTTGAGGTTGCTTCCAACCTTGTGATTCTATAAAGGGGCTCCCTGTAGGAATATAACTGTCAACTGAAGTAGAGATGTTGGAATGCTATTTCTAATACGCCTGAGCCCACTAAGCTGGCATAGTCCAGTGCATCTTCTAATTTTTTTCATGTCCTTTAATGACACTGGAAAACAAGCAAAGAAGCACTTTCAAGTGTTCTTATGCAAAGGAAATCTGACCGTTTTTTTGTGTGAAGTCTCCACACTTACCTAAACTGCTTCCCTTCAAATGACTTACCGCACAAAAGTAGTAAATGTTATCTATTCACTTCCTTTTTTCCTCTAACCTTGAACCTCTACCAGTCAACCAGTATTGTGCTTCTCTAGAACATCTACTTTCCTATTCACAGCATCCACAAATTTATTTCAAATATTAGAGAAATGTAAGTACTTCCTTAGTTTGTCACCGACATATTTAATTCTATTTGTATCTTTACTTGTACATTTCCAGACTGCTTTCTGTATGTAATCGTTATTCTGCTTCCTCACTAGCTAAGACGTGCTTGCATATATTTTTTAAGCATTTGGTCTTATGATGCTCTAAATCTGTTTCTTGAAACCTGCAGAAAATTGCACTGTACACAGATGTACTAACTTGTATGCACCTAGCATATCTTTCATACTCTGAAATGGGATCACAGGAAAGTAATTAGATACTATTCCTTATTAGCAATGCAGTCCTGTAATCAACCGAGCAGTGTATTCTAATCACCATCTACACTTGTAAAAAATACTTCTCTATGAAACTCTCATGTTCTAGCATGCTCTCTTTAGTCTCTCATCAGCATCTTAAAATAAGACATCAGAGGAGGGGAAACCCCACATGTGCCTGGCTCCAAAGAAGTAAAGACCAGAACAAAAACACTTAAACTATTAACCTTTACATTAGTGGGGAGCTATTCTAATTCAGAATTAATACCAGGACAGCTAACAAAAAAGTTGTTGAGTTCCATGGTCCTTCATTTTTGCTAGATAGTCACAACTTGCAGACAGTCCTTCTAGAAAAATCAGTTAATTTCTTGGTCCAAAGATACAATATATAACTGTTCAGAATAAGAACTTTTACATATTTTGCTGGTATGAAAAATAAACTGACGCACAATTCTGTGCACTGATTTTTGTATCGTATAATTTTACTGAAGTCCTAGTTCCTTTGTGCTGTTTCTGCTGTTGCTGCACGCATTGACCTTAGGCCATAACTACTGACTAAGAGGTGCCACAGTAGCTGAAACTGATTTTACCACTTTACACTAAACTAAAGATACTTACTGTAGATGATGATATGAACAGAGGTTATGAACTTAATGGATGTGAGAATAAAATGTCAATAAATATCTCTTACCTACATGTGCACAAAATGTATTATTTAAATAATAGTCAAAACATGAATTTCCAACTGTATTCTGATAAAACTGTTTTCTGTAATACAGGGTTAAACAGCTGACTGATGAAGAAGAATGTTGCATCTGTATGGATGGACGTGCTGACCTTATCCTACCATGTGCTCACAGCTTCTGTCAGAAATGCATTGATAAATGGTAAAATGCTTTCACAAAAGATCTCGTTAAAATTGTGAATCAAGCATTCAACATGTTGGCTTTGGTAATGAAGGACTCTTCATTGTTAATGTGCTTCAGTGTTTAAAGATGTCTTAGCAATATATATGCAATGGATATGAAGCTTAAGGAAAGACTAGGATTGCAGCAGAATAATGAAGAATCACTTCAGAACTCCTATGAACTTGATCTGGAAGAATACCAATTAGAGAAATCACTTAATGGTGGAAGCGACAGGAAAAAAACACAATTAGATATGAGTTTAGGATTAGCTTATTTTATAGGAAAACAGTGATTTAACTCTGAATTGGATAGAAATATTCCAGTGTACTTTACAAAAATAATGGATATGTCCTGTCTACCCTGGTCTTACTTAAAATATTGTCCTTATGTAAAATATTGTAAAAATATTTATGATGATGAAGAAATGCTGAGTCTGACCTCTTGAGCTGCTTTTAACATCAGAAGTGTCACAACATTCTGATTAAAAGGTACGTAGTCCTCTGAATGTTACAAACCCAAGGCAAATTAGAATGACCATTTATCTTGATAAACATACTACAAAAGGGGTCTTTTTTTTTTTTAGTTGCATGTAAAGACTTCTCATGGACATCTCTTATACTGTAATTTTTTTCCTTAACTTTGATAAAATGTATGGCCTATAACTTTTCTAGAGAAAGATATTTAAGTTTTTAATTGAGATAAAATATTATGCATAAAATTCAGGTTATTTAACTTAGCACAGCATCAAGTTAGACAGCAAACTCCTGCATCTCAGGATTACACATGGGCTTTTGTTTTTGACCAGAATATTATAAATTAAAATATTCTCTCTGTCTTCCTAAACAGGAGCGATCGTCACAGGAACTGTCCTATCTGCCGTCTTCAGGTGACTGGGGCAAACGATTCTTGGGTTGTGTCGGATGCGCCTACAGAAGACGATGTTGCTAGCTACATACTTAATATGGTAGATGAAGCAGGGCAGCCTCACAGACCCTGATACCAGTGACTAATAGTAGAAGCACTTGGAGGTTTTCTTTGTGTGACTTCCCACTTCCCCCTTACTTTGACACTGTTCTGCACTTTGTTTAAAATAGGAGTCGTCTTGGCTGCTATGGATTTACACTGTTCTTTTAAAACACAGGATACATGACCCAATACATCTGTAAGCATTCTTAACGTTTTATGTAGTTTCTTATTAAATGCTCTAAACTATTTTGATCGGTGACAGTAGCAAAGATTGTCTGCCCGTTTAATTTTTTTTACGTGATTTAAAAAACACTGGTATAGAATCGTTTGTCAGTTGAACCATAACAGCACAGCTATGTTTTGTGGTAACCAAGTACCTGATTATATACTGTTCCCAGAAGGGCCTGACCCTGTAGCCCTTATCTTGATAAGTAATTCTGCTGATTTTAAATGGGCCGACTAACATGAATAGAGATTGTTAGTTAGGATTAAACAGTTATTCTTAAACCAAGGCTTTGCTGCTGAAATTTGAGGGCTATCCATTGCCACCTATGCTCAGTTATTGCTGCTTTTTTTTTTAGCATTTCCATGTATTGACTTTAAACTAGCTGAAATTTAAGTATAAACTTTTAATTCTATTTTCGTATAGTACAAAAACAGCTATGACAAGCTATTTGTGCACTTCCCTTCTTTCCTAGTAAACAAATGGAAGTGAAGTAAAAAGTAAAACTTAGCAAGTTATTTTATTCACTACTCATTAGAACAGCCTCATTAGTTGCAGAACTTTAAACAGCTTCACGTGCAGTCCGAAAAGGATAAATTAATGTATCAGCAGCTTTTTAAACCGGCAACAGCCAATTTTTCCTTTTTCCTTAAAAACATCTGAAAAGGACCCCTGGAAAGTAGTTACTCAGGTTTGGTTTACTTTTGATATTTTAGTTTTCTCCACTTTTTTTCTGAGTTTTCAAAGTCACATCATTATCCATGTAAAGTGTGATTATAAGCTAACAAATGGTGCTGTACTTTCTGCAAGTGCAATATACCTTTCTGTAGTGGAGATAAACTACTGCTTTGATAATGGCTTCATTTTTCTTTCTAATGGAATGTGCAGTTATGAAAACTCAGGAAAAGAACAGTAATGATTAGGAAAACAAGGCTATACTTCTGTAGCAAAATCATCAACCATTATCGGTGTTGTCTGATTTGTCAGTAAACTAGTAATACATTTTGAAGTCTGTTTTACATAAATAACACCTTGGAAAACTACTGGCTTTGTAAAGAATGAGTTAATTAATATAATTGGCGGCTTTTTGTAATTAATATGTAGTCTGATTTGAGTCCGAGTCAGACACATTTACACACAGCTGATCCATTCAGTGAAATTCTTGTACATCGTAAAAATTAAACCATACTGGCTGTACCTGCTAAAACTCATTGATGTCTTAAAGCTAAAAAAAAAATTCTGCATTGATAATGGGTTCTGTGCTTCAGAGATGCATGTACACATGCACAGCATTCTGTAAAATTGATTACAGAAGAGTAACTAGTAAAAATAGTAGGGAACAAATCTTAAAAGAGGCTTGTCATCTTTTTAATTGCAGGACTTGTATGAAATATGACACACATTTAAATTGGACTTATGGCACAGGTGTCAAATTCAAAACAAACAACAGAGACATCTTGTACAAACCACCCCTACAGTCAGTAGGGCTTATTGTGTAATTTTGAAACATTTCTTGAAATGAATGCATATCAATAAAACTGTACCTTCTTCACTTTAATTCCTATCAGTGAAACCTTCTGGATTTTTCAGAAAAAATTGTGGACTACTTGCTGCATTAAGCATAGTATAACATCTCTTATATTGAAAATCATAAATATTTAAGGTTTTACTACTAATATTTAGCAATACATTTCAAACCATAAAGCCTTTTACTCCTCTTCCTTTCCACCTTAGTATTCATCCACATTCAGGACTTTAAGATAACATTTGTTTTTGGTTTAAGTATTTTTATATGATTGAAGCACAAACAAGCATCTAGCATCATTACAGCTTCAAACTGCTATTTTTTTGTTTTCAAACGGTAAAAGAAAAAATACTACTGAACGGACACACATGGTGAGTTTCTGCTGAGAACTTTAATGATGCAGCCTGAGTATTAACTGCAAAGTAGTGATCCATATAATCACACCTCGAACTTAGCAAAAACTGTAAATTTGTTTTAAATGGAAAAATATAAGCTTTATATTCTGTACAGCTTTTTAAATAAGCTACTTTAATGCACACTGCTGTGATGTAGGTTCTTTAATGTAATGTGTGCCTTGTAAAATGTATGTACTGTATGTTACAAAGGATGTAGTTTGCGTTACCACTAAAAATGTCTAGTGTGGTAGCGGTGATATTTCACTGTCTGAGATACTACATTTAGCTGACTGGAATCTAGAAAAGAATACAAATCAAGATGACTTGAACTGAGTAGTGGGTTCTGAAAATCTGATCGTGAATGTGAATTAATGTAAATAGCTCTTGGGTGGCATAAAATTGCAATTTTGTTCTGTAGTATTGCAGCAAAGATTTCTTAAAGGTTTGATATAAAGATGAAACTGAAATGCTATAGATTGTAGAATAACTTGTGCAATAAAGACACTTTGGAAGAAAAGTTTAACGAATTCTAAGTTCATCTTCTGCTTTTCATATATAATATATTAGTTCAATCAAGTTTTAACTTGAATTCCATTCTATCATGCATGCAATACAGTGCATTTGCATGTCATTTCCATAAATGACATATGACACTCATTTAAATTTCAGTGTGATGTTATAACAGGGAGCCAGAGGATCCTGTTTCTATGAGCAGAAGGCAGCATTAAAGGGCTGCACTCAGGTAGCCAGCTAAGGTAGAAACAGCTGTAGAAAAGTAAGGAGTCAAGGAGGGCCCCAGAATCCTGGTTTCTGAGCTAGAGAGCTTAGTTTAGTCCTGATCTCTCTGCTGAGGATAGAGCTTCTGCCAGCCTGGGCTGCCAGCAAGGGGAACCCAGGCAACACAGCTACCTGGATAACCTGCCAAGCACTAGCAGATGAAGGGTAGGAATCTGCTGCAAACCAGAGGGACTGGGTTTGAGTATTGGCTGCTGTAAGTAGCTGGAGGACTGGGTCATGGCTATGGGGGTGGACTGAAGTCATGGGTGTGGGACAAGGTGGGGAAGGGCCTGGAGGGGTACTGAGTAATAACAGCCTAGTCTAGGGTCAGGGGCCCTGAGGTCTGGAGCAGAGGTAAGCTAAGGCTGAGAGGGCCAAAGCCTGAGCAGTGGAGGTTAGGGTCAAGATTGGCAAGCATCTCCTGGCACTAGCTAGGGCCCAGCAAGCTGGTTGAGTCGAGAGAGAGTGAGTGGGTCAGAGAGCCCAATGAATGAAGACAGTAAGACCTGTGAGGCATAGGCATGGCTGTGGAGGCATCTGGAAGCCATGATTAATGCCCTTAAAGCAAGCTAGTGCCTGAGGACACAGATAGGGCAACTGGGGCCCCATCAGCTAGTGAGATGCAGGTGCCAGCAGGGCATTGTGGAGTAGGGTAGCAGATTTTGGGCCCATTGCCATGATTAGGACTGGGGGCTTTGTAAACAGGTGAAGCTAGGTCAAGTGGATTCAGTGGGCACACTCAAGGACTCTGGCAAACAGCCTCCCAATGTAAAATACAATTTCCATCAAGACATGACAGGGAGGACAGTGAGGAAGTTACCCAAGGAACTGAGTAAAACTAGTGGTTTGTCCTCTGGGGGGCACTGCAGCCACCTTTGGCAGCCAGTCCTGTCACAGATGTCAATAGCAAACTAAATTTAGTTCTGGGGAAGGATTTGTTTACTCCACCCCCTGTTTATTCTATCCCCCAGCAAAGCAACTTGGGAACCTCTTACCTCACAGAGGCACTGTCAATTTTTCTAAGAAGCACAATTCAGGGTATCTATTACTGTTATAAACAGTACCTGCAAGATAAAAATATCTTCATTTTTAATCTATTTACCCTGTTTCTAAACAATATATGCATGTGTATTCAGTCACTTTCTCTGATTTTTCTGCTTGCATGGATTCTTCATAGGAAAGGGATGGATGAGACCCACTTTTAAAGGTGAGAAAAGTATGAGTGCAAAGCCACAAATGTTGGCAGAGGTACTAAAAGGAAGGAGTGTCTCTTGAAAGTGTACCTGATGCTTTTAAGTACTGGATTTCAAAATTAGTGTCTAAGTAAATGGTGCCAGCCACCAAATTCTGTAAATACTGTTGCTTATTGTGGGTGATTATATCACTCTCAGATAGATAAAACATGCACCCCCCCCAAAAAAAAATCAGACCCCCAAAATTGGGTGTGTGTATTTAAGCAGGGTATGTGTATTAAGCAAGGAAGCTGATTTTCTGCCCAGGATAGAAGCACCCTGCTTTGATTCCTGCTCTACCACTGAACAGTAGCTGTTGCATTACTGTTCAGGCACCTGAGGGGAATTAGTTGACTTAATGGCTTATTGTTCTTCACTCCACAGGTGTAACAAGGTCTCTCCTTTTTTAATGGTCTTGATGTTCTGCTAATCAAACTAACCTTTCTTAGGGCAAGCTTGCTGTCTGCTAGCTGCTCTGGGTCTGTCTCCTCTTATTTCACAGCCTTAGAGACTTTAGATCTTCTAAAAATTACAGATCCACAGATGAAGACGAGTCTTCAACAGCGGCTAGGGCTTCAGCTTCCACTAAGCAGGAAAGGGAGGGTGATTCAACTGAAGATTAGGCTCTGTACCTACTCTATGCAGCCATTACTCCATTAAGAAGAAAAGACTTTTTCAGAGTCGTTGTCATCTTTCTGCCTTTCAAAAACAAGGTATGTATGATATTCCAGGGCATGTATGCAAGGAACTGGCAATTTGTGTAACCTCTGATCCAGATTCCTCCCTTCCTCCCCTGCTCCAGTAATACAAAACAGCCAGTGACATCCCTTAGTAACATTAAAACGGGAATAAAAAAGTTGTACTCATCTCTAGGGGTAAGGGCTGTTCTTAATGGAATAGACACCTAGCTGTGGGCCTTTGCTCTAGTTACCCCTACTTGTGACTGGGGGAAACTATCCATAGGAAACCTCGGCTACATAACACAATGAGAATCATAGGTTAATCTGTATGATTTTAACTCCTGTTCATTGCACATGCAGCTGGAAGCAAACTGACACATTCTGGCCTTTGAATATGTATCCATCTCAAATTTTATATTTTCCTTCCATTTTCATGTAAAATCTCAAGGTTTTATCCTAAGTGCTGGTTCATGGGCAGCTCATAAGTGTGACTTCTGATTTTTTTAAACATGTCTGACTAATTAAAGATTATTTGTGACATTCCTTCTAGACAGATGAAGAAGGAAGTCTAGAATCTATCAAGTCATATTTTACAGACCAAGCATTCTTTCCTTCCTAAATACTGAAGATTAACAGATTGAGCTATGGCCCTGGATATGCAGGTCAGGACTTTGCATGGTATTTTACCCATCATATCTATGCTAGGTAGTGCTAGTAGGATTAAAAAAAAAATCTTAGGAGTCTTCTCCATCTGAGTGCCTCAAAATACTATAAATGTAAGGACTTGGTGTTAAGCGAAAGGTTCATATCATCTCTTTGGGTCAATAATTTTCCTTCATAGACTTCACTTGCACATAACCAACTCTTGAACACAGTCTCCTTTTAAGAGATGTAAAAAAAATGTATGTTTACATCACCAAGATCCTTTTTGTAAATCCAGTTACATTATGAGAAAGTGGTTGGTCATTTATTTCAATGTAATATTTATTGCCCCTCCTTTTAAATGACAGGCAAAAAACAAAGTGACCCACATGCTTTTCAGTCAGAACGCAAAGAGCAAATGATGCATTATTTTTCAAAGTGGATTTTATAACAAAAACATACTAGGAGTGAATTGAAGAAAAAGTTGTCTCTAAAGAAAAAAATAAAGAAAAGAAATGCAAGAGAGAAAATACTCTTAAGTAAGGTACACCTCTGAGACAAGAAAGTATTGTCGCTGTTGTGAAAGAGTACATTTACTCAAATACAAGATAAGGTTTTTCCCCCAATTAGCATAGAGGAGAAAAGCCCTTCATCTTATAATTGCACACAAGGAAATTGTACTAAATACATTGTCTATCATTAAACTACTGCCAAAAGCAGCATACCTTTTTTGGGCCCTTAAAAATGTGCAGTTGCTCCCCCGAGAGGGTACAAGTACCACGCCTGGAGGTATTGCAATACCAGACTCTGAGAGACCTGACCAGGCATCAATACCCTCCTCAGGTGCCAAAAATACTGATTTTTTTTTCTAAGTCTCGTTTCTAGCCAAATCAATATTGAATTCCATTGACTGAGCAGAGCTCAGTTGTTCAGGTCTGTGTGGTACTATCATCAGCAAGTATCCTACCTTTCAGACTCCTCAATAGTGGGTTTCAGATACTCCCAACCGACCACAAGAATAGGTTAGTGCAGCCCATTTGAATAAGACATATGGTAGTGACCATTAAGCACAGTTCCCCCACCACCACCAACCCAAGTCATGGTGAGCCACTACACTATACATTTTTACTTCTTCACTTCCACAGCTGAACTGCACCTTTCTTTCCATTTCCAATGAGTATTGTTTCTTCACCATCCAAACATCACAAAACAGGGCCCCAAATAATTCACCCAATATCCATCTGTCACCCGCTCTCAGCCTGGTGCATACAATTACTGTGGTCCCACCCTCCATGAGGTAAAGTCAGATCAGGTTCCCCTGTGCCTCATCTGCATATAAATTTTTGGAGTATCACAGGACTTGTGACATGAACATGGATTTCCAGTCATGAGCGGATGCTAATTAGTACATGGATCCTTTGTGGAGGAAGGTGGGGGTATCTGGAGTACACACATACTGAGCACTATTGAGCCATGGTCACCATGGATTGAAATGCTGTCAATTCTGATAGGGCCCAGCCCAGTGAACTGCAGTAAATCACAAGCCTTTGGCTTTGGGTTAGTATCACGTATAGTTTGTACTCCATAAAAACAAAACACCTATGACTTAGTAGGGCTAACGGAAACCTGGTGGGATTCGTCCCACAACTGGGCAGTACATATTGAGGGTTATAGATTGTACAGAAAGGACAGGGTGGGGAAAAAAGAGGGAGGGGTTGCGCTCTATGTCAATGAGCAATATACATCAACCCTCATCAACCCTCATCAAGACGGAATCCAAGGATGAGGAAGTAGAAGGATTGTGGGTTAGGCTACACGGGGGGCAAGGAGAAAGGGATTTGGTGGTAGGGGTCTGCTACAGACCCCCACACCAAGGGGAAGAAATAGATTCGGGGCTCCTCTGAGGCAGCTCTCGGAGACCATAAAAGCTAAAGAGGCGGTAGTTATGGGGGACCTAAACTACCCAGACATCTGCTGGGAGACGCAGACAGCAAAGTCCCACCGTTCACGCAGGTTTCTAACCTGTGTACAGGACCTCCACCTGACACAGGAGGTACACGGTCCCACTAGGGGGAATGCCATACTGGATCTGGTATTGGCAACGGGGGATGACATGGTAGGGGACCTCCAGATCGGTAGCCATCTGGGGGTCAGTGATCACCTAATACTAGAATTCTTCATAAAACGTCAAGTGGGTAAGGTAACTAGTAGGGTGAAAGTGCTAGACTTTAGGAAAGCTGATTTCAATGAACTCAGGCGATTAGTTAAGGACGCACTGCAGAGTAGGAGTTTTGAAGTGATGGGAGCCCAAGAAGGGTGGCTGTGCCTTAAGGAAATGAGCCTTTGGGCACAAAGCAAGATGATCCCCGAGCGAGGCAAAAGGGGGAAAGGGGCCAGGAGGCTTCCCTGGCTGACCAGAGAAATCCAGGGCAGCCTAAAGGACAAAAGGGGAGCACATAAAAAGTGGAAACAGGGAGAGATCACCAAAGA